CCGGGGCGCCTCGTTACAGGGGGGCCCCCCTCCGCTGCCCATTCACTGCCGCTCCAAGCGGGTGGCCTTTCTTCTCCTAATTGGGCCGGGGAGGAGGGGGCTGCCTGGGAGTGCTGTCCCCATCGAGCCAGCTGTGCCCTCGGCCTCAGAGCGCGGGGATCGGTGACCCCCTAATCCCTCCGGGCTCTTGGGTGCAGGTCGTGGAGCTCCACCTCTGCCCCCCATCCACTAGCAGAGCAGTGGGGCTGCGGATCTGGAGGCGATTATTTGGGAAAGCTGTGTCCTGCGTATGTGCATATGGTTTCCTCCTCCTCCTCCTCGGTTCCCGGGGGCTTGGGGAGGGTGGGTTCTTTCATGGGTTTATTTTCTTTGTCAGCTCTCTTTCACACAGCTTTATTTTCCTTCCTTTTGTCTCAGGCGCCTTCCTTTCTGCTCCCCGGGCTCAGCCCCGGCCCCGCTGCCTCCCTTTCCCGCAGGGCTGACCTGCTGGCAGGGATGCTGGCACGGATGCTGATCCAAGCCCTGGGAGCCAGAACATCAACCCCTGGGGGGACGGGGACCACCACCGTGCCTGACACCTCGCTTGGGGCATGCAGATTTTAAAGGAACGCTAAAGCTCATGTTTGGGGTCCGGGAGCCCCTTCGCTCAGAGGTCCCTGGGGCTCCTCCTCTGGGAGGAGGTAGCTGGGTCTCAGCATTGGGGTGGGATGAGTGGGCAGTCCTGCACCCATGAGGCTTATGGTGCTTTGCTGATCCTCGCCTCTGCCTCGCCTGCTTTGTCCCCACACCTCTTCCCAAAATGGAAGTCGATCCTGTGAGTAGGAGGGCTGGAGGAGAGCGAAGCAGAGCAGGAGCAGCCCTCGGTGCACCTGTCACCTGCAAATCGCTAGTAAATATGGGTGGTTTCTCTGCCCATGCCCACTCCTTGCCTGGGAAACAGTATTTTAACTGAAAGGCCAATCTCCAAGTCCACATTTTTGGGAGGATGCTCATCACATTGTGAAGGATTACTCCTCTGCGGTGCAATTCCCATGTGCAATTTCTGCCCTGAAGGCAAAAATAATCTGGGGAGACTTTGTCCATCTGTTCAGTTTTGTGAAACGTGCAAAAAATACCTGCCGCCGGAGCGGAGGGAGAGGTGGGTGTTTTCGCAGCTGTGAGCAGAGTGATCGTGTGAAGTGAGCCCACGCTGGGGCTGGGGGTGCTGTGGGCTCTGGTGGAGCCATGCTCCTGGCTGTGGAATGCAGCAGGATGCTCCGGAACCCAGGTTTGGGAGCAAAGGTGAATCCTGCATGGTTTGTGGCGTGAGCTGTTTGGTTCGCATGCTCACAAGCATGGGCTGGAGGAGAATAGATGGATAAAGGAGTGTATATAGGACAGCATCAAGACATTTCTTGCTGCTGGTGCTGTTTTCCAGGAGGACCATCCAAGGAGGTCCAAGGTGGTGTCTGGTTTCTGCTCCATCACTAGCTCATGGGGTGACCCAGCCCTGCCGGGCTCGTACGTGCAATGACAACATGACCGAGTACTGCTGCGGCCGAGGTTGTGGTTGTCAGCCAGGAGGCTGGCATTGCTCAAATTCATGTGGCTGTGGAGCCAGCGGTGGATGGGCCACGTCCTGCCTAGCTGATAGCTGTCACTGTCCTCGCACGTGGCTGTGCTCTGCACTCGCCCGCACCAGGGAAGCGATCGCTCCTCCAGCAGCGGTGAACTCGTGCCGTTGGGAAAAGCTGGAAGAAGATAGATATCTTCTGGCTGTCCCTTTTGCTGGCAAAAGTCTGTCCTTCTCGTAATTCAAGCTAAGAAATCTTCCTCACAGGCAAGTGGAAAGCAGTGCCAGGTCGTCCGTGGCAGACAAGTGACATGGGGAGGCTCAGAAGGAGAGCTGCTGTGCAGCTGAGACATTCTCCTGGCAGGGGAATACAGGCAAAGGTTTCTTCCTTACGTGCTGCACAGTGACCATGTGCCCAAGGCTCTGGCTGCCTCAGCCCTCCTCCTCTTCTTCGACTTCTTACTGATGGTTTCCAGACTTTACGTAAGAAAAGCGAATCGATTGATGTCAAAGACATCTCTCTTAATATGGCCTGAACCTTCGAAGGGGTGGGAAGGTTCTGTTTTGGGGATGCAACAGTGCAGGGTGAATGGCTGGACTCGATGATCTTGAAGGTCTCTTCCAACCAGATGATTCTATGATTCTAAGACTTGCGCTTTTGCAGTCGGGCATTGAGCGGTTGGGTCTGGGCAGTTAATGCCGCCTTTGCCAGCGCCGTGGGCTTTAATTCCCGGTTACGTAAAGCTGCCCTGCGCTGCGGCAGCCTGCTCAGCGTGTGACAGAGGCGCCAGCTGTTTGGAGTTTATTTTTATATCCTCTTTCTTTGTGTCCACTCGCAGCACTGACTGCCCGGTGTCAGTCGCTGGACACTCAACTCCGCCTGCACCCAGGGCAGGAGCTGCGTGGTTGGGGGTGGCCTCGCTGAGCCCCTGGGCTTGTTGAATTCGGGGTGCAGAGGGTTAGCAAGGAGGGCTCCCTGGGACAGCGTGCACACATGAAACTGAGGGCATTCACACAGCCCCCACGCTGTGCCCGCGATAGAGGTGGCAGCAGCGTCCCGGTGGAGAGGAGCTGGGAGCCCCGCAGCGATGCCAGGTGACCCCTGGCACATGTGTGGGCATTTAAGGGCCCGTCTCAGCACTGGCGCTTGAAACCAGTGACTTGAGTTTTCATGGTGTCAGCAAAGGTCCCAGCCATATTCACGGGAACGCAGAGCCTGCCAGGGTTAGTGCCTGCGCTGCGCTGCCGAGGGTTACGTCAGCGCTCGTGTCGAGATGAAGCGTGGGAGCACAGGGGGCTAGTAAATAGCCTCAAAACGCTTTTCTTTTAACTACATGTTTTTCACGCTCCACATTGACTCTTCGTCGCTTGTCTGTTTTCTGATCCTTCTTCTGAATCTGCCCTCTTCCATTTTGTTTTTAAAAAGGTTTTTGTTCGGCATCTCTCCGTGCTGGGTCGCTGCGGTGGTGCCTTTGGTCCCCTCTGAATAGCAAAGCGGCTCCTTTATTCTGCAGGCTTGGCCCGGAGGCTCTGCAACGCTGCAAAAACAGCCAAGGGCTTGGCAGGGCTGTAATTAAGCAGTGAAGGGCCTGTCACAGGACAGGTTGCCCCAGCTATTTTAGGGATATTCTGATATCCAGGTCTATAATAGATGACTCAGTGCTGCCAGGGGGACGTTGGCTTGTACCCACGTACTTTGGTCACACAGATGAACAAGTCCTGCTGGCCTGATTGCTGAAGCAGTTTTATTGTTAGAATAGGGGTTGTTGAACCCTCAAATCGCGGTGGGATGCACACAATGCTTCAAGCACAGCGGGCGAAACACCTCCTGTTCCCCAGAAATGACCCTGGGTTCCCTCCAGGGATGCCATCGAGGCCACGGTGGGACCGTGAGGTCTCCAGTGCTGCAGAAACTCAACTAATAGGCTCTTTCTTTCCCTCCAGTACATCGGGAGCCTGGATGTGCCACGGCCAAACAGCCGGGTGGAGATCGTGACGGCCATGCGGCGGATCAGGGTGAGTGTGACGAGGATGCTCCTTCCCCTTTGGTGGTGGGGGCACGGCTCCTCCGTCTCTGCTGACAGCCTCGTCTCGCTTAAGTCCCATCCTCCAGGTTGTTCATAACTGTACTTTTCACCATTGCTCTCTCCGTGGAGGTCTCCATGCAAGTCTCCGTGCAATCCCGGCTCGGTGCCCAGAAACTTGTGACTGTGCCACACCGTCACGTTTGGCACGTCTCCAGTGCTGGCTGTCCCCCGTGGTACCCGGGCATCCTACGTGCTCCTCAGCAGCCGGGCAGTAGCTGGGCCGTCTCCATGCTCACGTCCCGTGCAGGAGCATGTGCTCGAGACACGGGCATGGAGTGATGGGTGGATGCGGGGTGTGGGGCTGCTGGTGCCAGACGGAAACTGTAGCACATCTGTGATTTGGCGGATTTCCTTGTGTGCTGGTCCCAATTCAAAGGCAACAGCAAACTACTTGTGGAAGAAGTCCATTTGCTTTTTACTGTTTGCAGAAGCACTTCAGCCGCATGAAGGTTTGAACCCTGCCTGGATATGCAGGCAGGTTAGTGCCCCATAAATGGCAACGTGCAAATTAAAGTGCTGAGTAACGAGCTCTGGGGCCGGCCAGCAGCGAGCTTGTTTAGCAGCAAGTAGGTCAGGGGATGTCAGCTGGCAATGAAGTCATCTGGCTTCCCAAAATACTTACCGGCAGGATACGGGGTGCTCTTGCCGTGTAATGTTTGGCTGATAGCCAGGAGAGGAGCTTTTCCTCTGCACCCTGGCCCCTTGCCTCTGCGGCCGGACGGTGTTCAAGGGGGGCTGGGAGGTGAGCAGACCCCACACCCCATGAGCTCACTGCCCCCAGGCCCAAAATAACGGGAGCCCAACTGCTGTCCCACGCACAAGACAGCCCTTTGGGCCGTGGTTGGACCTCAGCCTGACGTTTGGTGGTGTGGGCGCAGGTAGTTTGGTCTGCTCCATGAGTCACAGCAAGGGGCCTGCCCTGTCTTCCAGGGATGGAAATAACACTCTGAGATGGAAGGAGCTGAGGATGCTCTCAGGGATGTTGAGTGATGGATGAGGTGTCTTTCTGGTGGACCCATGGCGTCCTGCAAGCGCTGGACCTGCTCATGTGGCTGAGCAGTCCTGACAGGGCTCGACTGTCGCCCTGCTCCTGTCTCAGCCCCTCCTGCAGGCTCTTGCTGTAATCTCATTTTCTCTCTTCTCATTGCCAGAGAAGTATCATATCCCAAGGAGAGGAGTGTCATATCCCAAGGACACAAATTGTGAGGCTCTTCTGATTCAAACTTTCAGCGTGTGAATAGTTTGTGGGCTTTTCTCAGCGTCTTTCCCACCCGCTGCCCCGTCCTCTCGGTGGTGGTTAATGTCATGGCCAGTGCACAAGCTGGGAAGTTCTTTATGGCATTAGATTTGCCCTTGGTTCCAAACGAGGTGTGAGACAGAACAACTGTGATGCTGTCACGAGCTTTCATAAACAGCTCTTTCCTCTGCTGCCTTTCGAGATAAGACTTTTGAAAGACGGCAGCTCCGGCCCCGCAATCACACAACTCCACATCAGTATGGAAAGATTGACACAACTTTGAGGGCTTAAATAAACCCTAGGGAAGAAAAAAAAACCCCGAAACCAAAACAACACCAAAATATCCTTGTTGGCCAATATAAATAAACTTAAGAATAGTCTAGAAAATTCATAGATAAAGCTCTGAATGGCAGAGAAAGGACACAAACTGAAGTAAAATAATGATTTCTTATGGTGAATTATATGCTTGAAATGTGTGCTCAGGCTTCCTTGATCCAGTGTAGGACTGGAGAGATGCAAGTCATTTAAAGGCTGTGAGTTTGCAGGTGAGATCTGCCAGAGAGACTTTTGATGTCTGTTTATTTGTCGCGGGGTGCTGTTTGTGAGGAGAGCGCCAGGATGGTTGGTTTGTCGGGAGCTGATGCCTACAGCCCTTCCCTGGTTTCCCGCGGTTTGCGCTGGCCTTGCACCCAGCAGCGAGACGTTATCGCGGTGCTGCAAGGACGTTCACTGGGCTCGGCTGGGCGCCGGAGCCTGCTTGGGATTTGGCTGGAGGTCCAGGAGCGCGTGTCCTTGTTAAAGCAGAAGGGTGGTTGTGTTCTTTGAGGAATAAAGTAATCCCAAAATACTGGCACAGGGCAAATGGAGGAAGAAGCCACTTATTTAGGGACACTTATTGGGCGCCTGCACTGGGCTGGGAGCAGAGAGGGATGGGGCCACAAGCAGCTCCTGCAGGGCTGCCTCTCCTCTCCTCCCTGGCTGTCGGGACAGGGAGGCAAGTGCTGCGGGCTTGGCTGATCCTGACTGATCCCGACTTCCTGTTTAGATGGAGACCTGACCCTTCAGGGGCAAAGAGGAGGACGAGGCATAGCCGGCATTGCTGGGATTCCTGCTTGAGCCAGGCTCTGCCGCCCGGGTACTGCTCTCCCGAGAGCGAAGCAGAGCTGTGGGCAGAACAGCTCCAGCAGAGCACGATGTATGTATTACGCCCAAATTCGATCCCTTTTGTGGATCTGGATTGAGAGGGACTTTGTACAGGGAGTGGGTGTTGCAGGGCAGGGATGCCATCCCCGTCCTCTGCCTGCTGACAGGCTGGCAGCAGCATGGCCGTCCTCACCGTGCTGGCCAGAGGGAGGGTTTCTGTCCAGAAGTAGGAGGATGTTGGAGAATTCCCAGGATTCTTGCAGCACGGGGGTGAGGAGGGAAGGGGAGGTGCTCCGCTGCCTGCCTCTGCCTTCCTGCTTTTCCTGCCTGCCCCAGCTGGGGTTGGGATTGCCGGGGATGCAGCCCTGGCTGGCCCTGCGTCTCAGTGCATATCCCTGGCCCTGAAAGGAGTTGGTGGAATGGGATGCCAGCTATGCCAAGGATGCACTTGGACAGCAATTTTGTGAGCATTTGCTGCAGCTTTCCTCCAGAGCCTACATCTTCTGGCTCTTCTGCGGGGCACTGATGGCCACGTCAGTGCTAATAAATACAAGAGGCTTGTGTTCGTACAACTGACCTCTTTTTCCTTCTCATCCCAAAACAAGGTGACCCTGTCTGTGTTGCTTCCTGCCCTAAACTGCTGGAGTAGATTTGCCTTCAGAGTGTTCCTGGCTCCCCTGGGTGCAAAGTGTGAGAAACCAGTCCGTAAGTCCAGATACACGTACCCTTGGGCACCTGAATCTCAGAAGGTCCCAAGCTCAGTAATTAAACACTCATTAAAGCTGCAGCCAGCTTGTCCTGTTGGTGTGAACCATGGGACCTTCCTTGCCCAGGCTCTTCTGGGAAGCAGCAGCGCAGAGGTCATGGTGCTCTTCTGCTCTGTGCTGGTCACGAGCAAAGCTTGAGAAGTTCATATGGGAGCTCATGAGAGTGGCCTGGGATGGGCCATACATCCATCAGCTACCGAGGAGGGTGTTACGGCACTGGAGAGCAAGAGCTCAACTGATGCGTCTTCCTGACCGTAAGGATTATGAGTTGTTGAAGATTTCAGTTTAAAGTGCCTGAGCTAGCTGCAGATATCCTTTCTTTTCTTTTTTTTTTTTTTTCCAGAATGTCGGAGCACATGGGGCCCTAATTCACAACAATAACTGTGTGGGTTTTACATTTTCATGATGTAAATACATGCACATGCTTTCCTCTCTGTGCTGCTGGCATGTCTGCGGTGCAGCCAGTGCTACCTGGCCGTGGTTCGGTGCGGTCGTTCTAGGGAATTTGGAATCATCCTTTTTTTGTTACTTGGATTGCTGAGTGTGGCTTTAATACTTGGATTGCTGAGTGCGGCTTTAATCCAGATTTTTTTTTGGTGCCAGAAAGGATGAAATCATATATAGGCATTTCTCAAAAGCTGCTTCTGTGGAAGTCTTCTGCAAGCCTGTTTCTGAGAAGTGTCCAGCTGAGTTCTGGAGGCTCAAAACAAGGAGGCATTTCAAGCACTTTAAAATCTAGCTCCTCTACACCTCCTACTCTGACAGGTACATCTGATTTTGTGGGACTTCTGCTGCTTTGCATAGCCGAGCTCTCTTTTAGCAAATTGGCAAAATTGCTGAATTTCAACAAGCTTGTTCAAAGCAAGATTTTGCATCCTCTGCAAGCTGCACGCACAGTTGGACTGGTGTGAAAATGGATGCGTTTGGCTAGTTATTTGTGTGGAGCATGTGGTGTAATTTTGAGCTCATTTAATTAAAATATTTCTGCGATACCCCTGTTCCTGCCACGGCGAGTTTTTAAAAGCATTAGGTCATTCAGAATGATGGAGTCGTCTTTTTTCTTTCATCGTGTGAGAAGCAGCAGAGCTGTGACTGGCTGTGCCGTGGCACAGAGCGGGATTTGGAAGGTACCTGCGGGGCTGAGCACAGCAGCAACGGGCTGGCTGGGAGATGCTCAGCCTTTGGCTCCTCTTGGCAAAGTCACGGCGCTCGATGAATTGTCGGAGAGCTAATGACTTGACGCGATTATCTGAGATGAAGGAGATTGCACTGTATTAGGTCTGGGAGGAACCGAAGGGATATTTGTGATAATTTCAATTGCTCTTGCAAGGCTCTGACAATCACAGTGGAGAGGGTGAAGGTTTCCAGGCAAATTTATTGTATTTCTCCCGGCACCACCATTGCCACTTAACTTCATAATAAAATAATGGCTAGTCCGGCATCGCTGCTGACATGCTATCTACTCGATTGCACGAAACAGGTCAGGATGTCATTCTTGGTTAGTATTTAATCAATAAACTGGTTTCGTACCCAGATTCTCCGGAGCAACCTTTCAAGCAAGACTGCCCAGAGGGGAGGAATAGTTTCCAGGAGAGCTGGCCGAAGCGTAGGCAGCCCAGGCTTTGCTGTGTTTTAATACCATGGCCAGGATGCAGCAAAGCTCTGGAGGTTACTGGCAGCATTGAGTAGTGTGAGTTGTACGTACACTCTGTTGTAACACACGTGCAGTAAAATTACAAGTATAAGGAGGTAAGTGACTCTGTGGCAGACGGTGGCATCCGA